ATTCCCCTCCACCACCTCCACTTCTTCTCCTTTGATGTTAAGAGGATTCAACTTGTTTCTGTTTCTTCTGAATTTCTACAATCATCTTGTTTTGTTGAGATTCAGAATCAGATGACTGTTTCCAGACCATGGCACAAAGCGCTTCACCAGCTCTCTGTACTCAGATTCTTGTCCACCTTTGATGCACCCAGTTGTTAAGGGAAAAGGTTAATTTATTTGCATGTAAAATGAACTGAACCCTGAAGTAATTAGCTCAGTTGTCCTGTTTTTAAGGCATGTGACGGATCATTAGATGTGTTGGGTCTTCCTCTCTGAGGCTCCTCTCTGTGTGCACAGATAGAACGTCGTCCTCTTCATTTAAATGAATGGAGGAACAAAAGCTGCATTCATGCTTCCAGCTTGATCCGGAAACGAGGGATTCTGTGCTTACAGCTTGTGCTTTAAATGAGTTGGAGTGAACAACAACAGCAGCACTTTGTTTTTCTTCAGGCTTTCTCATCTGCTGTGGTTTATATGGTTTCCATGGTTACTGCAAATGTTTTGGGGACTGGAGTGAAACATCTCTCTGTGCTTCCTGTTGCCATAGAAGAAGCTGGCGGCGGAGCCGGACTACACGGACGTGACGCTAACGGCTGCAGAGCGAGTGCGAGCGCTAGCGAAGATGGGGTGCTGCGTGGAGATCAATGAGGAGATCGAACCCAGACGTTACTTTCGCTCCGGAGTGGAGATGGAGCGCATGGCAGCAGTTTACCTGGAGGAGGGCAGCCTGGAGAACGCCTATGTTCTCTACACCAAGTTCATCACGTGAGAAACACCTGAGTGGGCGGGGCTTGTCTTTACCAGGGAGGAAGTTCATTCTAAGCTTCTTGTTGCTCAGGCTGTTCGTGGAGAAGCTGCCGAGCCACAGGGATTACCAGCGATGTTCGGCCATTCCAGAGAAGCAGCTAATCATGAAGGTAATGGGATTGTTCTACCAGCAACTTAAGGGTGAAAACACTCTTTTTTTTTTTGTCTATGAAACTTAAATCCTTCTGCTGAATTCTGATTGTTTGATACCAAACACTGACTCTAGATTTATGTCCTGATTCATTGTCTCTACATCTCAGAGGCTTCCCCTTCTGTCCTTCAGTGGCAACATCAGAAAACTGTCAGACTCCAAAGTTTCTTTTTTTTCTTGGCATGCTCAGGCCTTTGACCAAGATAATGCTTCTGTAAAACAATCTGTTCCTGAAGCAGGACGTATCCCTTAATCTATGGAAATCTAATCTGTTCTATACTGCAGGCATGCTTAAAGTCGGTCCTTGAGGGCCGCTGTCCTGCAGGTTTTAGTGGTTTCCCAGTTAATCCCAGCTGATTTTACTTGATAGCTGATTAACAGGCTGTTGCTGAACTTCGATCATCAGAATCAGCTTTACCAAAGCAGGGAAACCTCTAAAACCTGCAGGACAGCCGCCCTTAAAGACTGACTTTGGGCATGCCTGCTATAATAAAAAGAGCCTTAAACGTATTGGTTCAGATTTTCAAATTATAAAAAGATAATATTCTGTTTTCACAGAGAAATCAGAAAGGAAAAACTTACTAATCTGATCTGAGATGAAGAGCTGGAAAGTTTATAAATACATATATTCCAAACTTTAAAAAAAAGGCATCTTTTTTAACATTTAGAGGGCATTTGTGCAGATTCTTACTCTACACTGCAAAAATTGATCAAGAAATGAATAAAATGAAATAAGATGATCTTATTTAATCTGGTAAGTAACATTATTTATCCATCCTAAAGTGTTTTGTAGGATGCACATGGGTAGGAGTATTTTTAAAATGAATTAAGAATATTACACATGAAATGAGGTAAAGAAAATGATTTTTCTTATTTTAACTGCAAAACTCTTGTTTCACTGGCAAATCATTTTATTAACACACTTAAATTAAGTACAAAAATACTTATTACAAGAAAAATGTTTGTAGTGTAGAAATTTTCTATGCAAATGGTTAAAAAAGTTTCTCACAAAATGACTCAACTATACAGCAACAGGAGACCTTGTTAAGATCCTCTCATTGTTCAGGATTATAATCATTCCTTATGTTGATGGGGCAATTATGATTTAATGTAATTTTGCATTAAAGTCATGCAGCAGGACATACCAGGTGGTTCTGAGTTATTAGGAATCAAACAGGCTTATTTTAAACATTAATATTCTGCATTTAGTAGCGCCACAGCAGCACTGTAATGAATAAAAACCTATCTCCATGTTGTGATGTCAGAAGGAGAACAGTTTTGGAGGTAGCTCAGCATTCTGTAATGGAGATGGATGGAAACATTAACTGTTCCAGAACATCTAATAATGTATAATAAAAAAAAACTAAAAAAAAACACTGCATAAATTCCTCCAAACCTTCTGTTAAACACATGACTCTATGAAACACCTTATACAGGGGGATTCAATTAAAACTTAAAGAGGTCCAGTCCAACAATATTTTCAGCATCAATCTTTAGGCTCAAAAACAGCATCTGCTTCTTTTCTGAAAATTTCTAAAATTTCCTTTTACCTGAACCTGGTGGCTCGGATGTGAAGCTGGAAGTGGAAGCGCTGAAAGCGACATTGGCAGGTTCTTAAAGTTGTCGGGAATTCATATTTAAATTTCAAATCATTCTGGCCTAAACA